TGTGTGTGTGTGTGTGTGTCTCTCTCCCTCTCTCTATTTCTCTGTGTGTGTGTGTGTCTCTGTGTGTGTGTGTGTCTCTCTGAGTGTGTGTCTCTGAGTATATATATCTGCGTGTGTGTGTCTCTGTGTGTGTGTGTCTCTGTGTGTGTGTGTGTGTCTCTCTGTGTGTGTGTGTGTGTGTCTCTGTGGGTGTGTGTGTGTGTCTCTGTGTGTGTGTGTCCCTGTGGGTGTGTGTGTGTGTGTCTCTGTGGGTGTGTGTGTGTGTGTGTGTGTGTCTGTGTGTGTGTGTGTGTCTATGTCTGTCTGTGTGTGCGTTGTGCTTGTTCTTGTACGTTGCGTGGATTTGATTGGGATGAAAGTGCATGTGAGCAGGTCTCCCATCAACATGCCGTGCAAACGTACCTGCGTGGCACTACCTGGATGCCATGGTAATGTAGCTGGTATGCCCACTGTTTATCACTTGTGGTTTGCTGCGACAGCTTGCTGTACATGACGATGCAAAAGCAACGGAATTCATGCTCCTCATGACCGATGCCTTCCGTACGCCCGGAAACATTTGGAACTCTCCGGTGCGTGTTTCGCTGCCCTCCCCAGGCCATGACACGGCTGTGTTAGACTCTGCTAGACCCCGATCTTCCCCTCCGGTATGGCAGGACCTGCAGAAACTTCCTCGCAACCGCATTCAGACGCAAACAACCCGCCGTGGTGCAGGCCGAGCGACCACATCCTCTTGCTCCAGTCGCAAGGCAATGCCTCTTGCGCTCTGCCAAGGGCTTAATTTCTTCCGGGCGTTTGCCTTTGGGATGTTAACGGTTAACGTTGCCTTCAATGATAGCTTACGGTCCAGCCTAGAAGCTCTTCCAAAAGCATTGTCTGGTGATGAGAGAAGCCTTTTTTCTCTAAGAAGATGCTTCAACCAAAAGTCGCTCGGTGCCCTGAAAGACTGCCCGGCATACAAGACCTCCGGTAGCTATTCAATCGCATGGGAGACGGACTTATAGAAGCAGTTTATTCAGAGCCCAAGCCTGGTAGAGAGAGAGAATCGTCGACAGACGGCTGCGAAAGCCGATCCGACTCCGGTTCTCGGGTCTCGCTCTCCGAGCCCTTCAGGTCCTTGCAGCAACATTTCCACACCCCAAGCCTAGCAGAAAAGCAGCCTCATGTTCGGTGCTCCCTGCCTTGCTTCGACGCCCTGCCATTGCTATTCCGGCAAAGGGTTGATCCATCACCTGAGATTGCACATGACTGAACAAGCCTTAGTCTTAGAGATGGCAGTCTCCGGCACGAGTGTCGGTCAAGCCACGTCGCAGCTGGATTTGGCACGTTGTTGAATTTGAACCAAGAAGGCACTGCGCAAACAGGGCATGCAGTGGGCAACGTGGCAAGACGTGGCAAGAGGTCCGGATTAGGGCGAGTGAAGGACTCCTGTGACTGTGCATCTCCCAGCGAGATGCTCTCAGTCGTGACTCCGAGGCCGCGTCCAATCTCCCAAGGACATGTGCTCGCTCTGCTGCCCCGGGGACACCTCATGGGACTCACGGGGAATGAAACAGCCGTCTCTTCAGAGCGCTCTCGCGTTCTCCACACCGAGCTCCTCCACTGCTGAGGGCTGAGGCATGCGCAGAGGGATCTAGAGACTCCAGAGAGCTGCACGTGTTGGAAAAAAGGAGAAACCTAGCACCAGGCGTGCACCACGCCAGTGGCCGAGATCCTTAGCGAGAGGAAGTTTCAGAGAAAGTGGGAGGAACGGCAAAGCTCATCTGGACAACAAACCCACAGGCCTGCCCGGGTCCCGTCTGAAAACCGCTCCCTCCCTTCAGGCCCTGAGCCGATCTCGATATCTCTGTAGAACTCTGGACAACACACACATTTGGCTGGCCGAGCTGCGTAAAGTGCTCCCCGAGCTTTGCGGCCGTCGTTGCAGAGGAGGACTGCAGTCGGCTGCGCAACTCCACAGCACTGTGCGGAAAGCTTTCCTCGTGATTGCACCCGAAGCTATAATCAATCGAGGCACCCCATCCATGAGCTCAGAGATGACTTCAAGGTCATATGGCCGAAACTCGGTGACGTCCACCTGGCTTCCATGCTCGTGCCATTCCTCAACACCTCCGTGCCTCAAAAACTATGCATGAACCTGCAACCAGTACACCTTCGTCTGCAACCTTCAGCATACGGCAAAACCCTTGCACATCCCTACAGAAGCGTGCTCTGCTGGGGACAGCCCACGCTAGCATCATCTAGCATCATCATCTCAGCGTCCGGCATTCTCCCTTCGCTTGCAGTACACGAACTTCACCCTGGCAGGAGAATATGAGATGCCTCTCTGACGAGGCTCTGCACGGCTGCGCCGAAACCGAAAATTGCATCTCAAGCACCGCCTTTCCACGAAACAAGCATCTGCAGAACTAACTTTGTATGCAGAAGTGCAGCCTTGCTCTGCTCAACCTAAAGGCCCCTAGCAATAGGAGCGCCAGGCTAAGGTCCATGATCAGGTGTTCAGGTAGCTAAAGGGAATGAAAAGAAGCAGCTGCACCAAAAACTCCGCGGTCCGTGCGCATGCCTAACATCTGCAGGACCACGCAATGCAGGCATGTATGCTGACGGAGATCTGGCACCGGATCGAATTCGTCTAAGTATGCCGGGAGCACGAACTGTTGGATCCGTTCTTCGCGAAGAATGCTATGACATCCTGGAGCCGCCATGGCCACTTGCACCACAAAACAGTGTGTTCGGGGAGTTTGAAGCGTAAGCTGCTAGGAAGGCGATCTGTGCAACACACGCACACGCACACACACACACACACACACACATTCAGGCTTGGCAAGAACTGATGCGATGAACCCTGGACTGCATTATGGGAAATCAGATCGCAGCAACCATGCAAGAATGCACTGTAGGGTTGGGTACTTGAGTGCCTCAGGGGGCCCACTGGCTAATCCGAATGCAAGTACACAATCCGGCGTCCCAGATCGCTTCACAGCACTTCCATCACCGTCTTCATTGGGCAAGTGGATGACACAAGGCTCACTGCCCCCTGCTGAAACGTGAGGTGTCATCCAACGCGCCATGTTCAGGCGTGTACACACACACCCCTTAGCAAAAGTGAACTTCTCCCTTTCGACTGTTGATCGGCAGTAAACCCACCAAGGTGGGAAGGCTCTGATGTTGCATGGGCATGCTTTCTTGGAGAAGCAACGCAAATCTTATTCTGTGCCCCGGAAAATGCAGGAGCCCGTTGATTACCCAGGTCTTGCTCGTGCTCTTTTTCTTGTGCTGGGTGTTGGCGAGTCAGCTGAAGTCAAAGCTGCAGGTGGTGGCTGCTGGCGCCCTTTGGAATCCAACCACCGGCGGCTAACCTCAAACCACTCCCACCACCAATTCTGGCCATCAGTCTTCCACGTCCATTTCCATGCCAGCGGGATAGGAGAACGGCTTCGACTCGGCATGATGGTGAGTGTTCTCTCCGAAAAGAAACGGCTGCAGGCAACACTGTGGAATCACAAAGCATTTGACCAGATGCGACTGCAATGTAAGCTTTTTTATCAAAACTGGCGGGGCGTTGCTGCATTCAAAGCTGCAACTGGTTTTCAAGGCGCTGAACTCTGTCGTTGAGCTCGGGTCTTTCACGAGTGGTGATCTCAATGCTCGGCCAAATGAAGGCGAAAGGCACGGTCTCGCCCCGCAGAGTCGCCCGAAAAGCTGGAGCTATGGTCTGAGTCTTCTTCACTTCGTTCAGCATGCTCATGCAAGATCTGATACAGAGCGTCGGCAATGATGTCCCGACGGGTCTGCTGTGGCTCTGGATCTGCGGAAGGAGGGCCGACAGGGGCAACTTCTTGCGACATGTTAAGGCAGAACTCGGATAACAGCTTGAATGCTTTGAGCCGTCCTACATGTTGGTGCATGTGAGAGTACAGCATGTGTAGCACAGCGAAAAAGACAGGCATGCAAACTGTCAAGCTTTGTCTGCACGCTGCGATGTTCGAATGGGTTATCTGTTCCAGAATTTTTGGAAAAGGCAGGATTATGCACAGGGAGCTTGCGTTGCACAGCAAAGCTCCACAAGTAGAGAAGATCACTTGAACTTGTGTCGGTGGGAAGGCACACTTCTTGATAGTGTGTGCCCGCGCTAGGACAACAAGTACTGCCTCAGGTGGCGCCGACAGATGGCTGCGCAAGTCTTTGGGCAAGAGCAAGAGCGGTCATAGCGGATGACGCGTTCGGGAATGTCCAAGGAAAAGCCAACAACGTCGAAGGCTGGCTGCTCATCTTCCAGGACGATCCCATAGAAATTGTTGCTGAGGAACAGCTGAATACCGGGCAATGTTGCAAAGCGGTCCTCTGGGATCCAAATACGGTTGTCCACGTATCGCAGGCACAGCTGCGGTTCATAACCGAAAATGATTGTGAGGAGGTGCGTCGCCATGTCTCCTCATGGGCTGAGATAACCATGTTTGCACAGTACTGGGGATAGTAGTGACCCCATCGGCGAGCCGTGCATCTGCACGAATCCCCTCCCTGCAACTGTGAAAAGTTGCAGCTGCAGTGAATGGAAGATGATCGTTGGGATGTCTTCCGAATGAATACGAACCTGCACGGTGCCTTGTTGTCGTCTTCGTCCTCGAAACACCCGGGAAGCTTGCTGTTGCTCCTTCAGGTCCACTGTGTAGACAGTATCGAGTTCAACTCCATTGAAGATAGAACTCTCTGGTGATCACCCAGCACGTTGAAACTGTGTGGTGGAGATGCTGGTAAAGAGACCACTCAGGTCTTGGTTTCGACAGTGCACAGCCTCAGAAGAGGAGTTTCGAAAGAAAGTCTGGACCTCGCTGATGAGATCACACACGTCCCCTTTGGCAAAGGATTGAAGAAAAGCCAGCTGTGTAAGTCGATGTAAAAGTCGAGCGAACAGTTGCTTCAGGTAAAGGTCTTCAGAAAGCATCAATGAAAGAAACTGTCGGACGTCCGGAAGCGAAATGTTTCTTCCTCTTTGGAAGAATATAGGCAATGGGAGTGCAAGATCGTCGCTTGAAATGCCAGGAATATCGCTTGCCCAATGCCTGTTTGGCCCTTTTGAACTTGGCATGGTCGTTGTTCGAAGAGGTCCCCAGGCTCTGCAAAGATGCCGGGGGTTTTCGAAAGTTCCGGAAAGGGCCTGATGATACAAGCAAGGGCAGTAGCAGACTGCCTGCCTGGCTCGGTGATCTTCACAGTGCCAGATAGCTGCTTTGGTTTTTATGCGAACGCTCCTGCTGACGGCTTCGGCTTGACATCGTCCTTGTGCTTCACTTTGGCGCTGGGCATAGGAATGCGCAAATACCTGCTTGATGCCTTCGGGTGGCCCAGGCAGGTCATTGGCTTGGCACCACTTTTCCCAGCCCTGACTGAAGTGCTCAAACAAATGCTCGGCGTCGTGAAAGAAGGTGTTGGCCATGGAGCCGTTCAAGATGTCATTTTCTACAGTGCTGAAGGCCGGGGCGGTGAAGTCTTCGGCCGCGGCAGCAATGTGTCCTTGAAATGTTGGGGCATCAGGTGCCCATTGCCGAGAAACATGAGGAGGCTGTGCAAATACCACGCTGGTGTTGGGCACATGGAAGAGCGTAATGGCCCGAATGCTTTGGGTAATGTAAGCGCGCACGCAAGCACGGAGTTCGCGCCTGTACGTTGCATGCGCCAAGAAGGGCGCCCGCAGCGGCCTTTAGAACCTAGGGGACCCAAAACCCTTAAATTCAACGGCACGCAAGATGGCACGGACGGCTTGCGGTGACATGTAGGCAGGCAAATGTTTGGCCACACGGCGCAAGGCGCACAAAGCAGGAAAAGAAAGCTCAGAACTGCGAAGTCTGTTGCTAGCCTCAAAATGCACTGCAGTGTTGCTGCCGAGTTGGGTCAACAGGACCCAGGTGGCTTCAGGGGAGCGAAAGGTGGCGATGCTGCAGATAGCATTCAAAGGCAAAGGCAGTGCATGTGAGGACTGGGCTAAAAGGAGTATTCTGCGCCGCTTCCGCAAAATGTGCTGAAAACCTATGTGCTGTGTCTGAGATGCGCTGGGCGGTCTGATGATGCCAAACCACCGCGCCATGAAAGGGAAGTGGAGCGGCGATTGAAGGGTGAATCATGGCTTGTTCCCTGCCCCGCAAGATGTTGGAGGGAACGGCAGAAGATATGGGCACTGCAATCCACTCCGAAAAGGTGTTGTCCCTGGCCCAGCATCTCAGCCACAATAGGGCAGAGACCAGCTTGTCCTGCACAACTTGCTTGAATTTTCGGTACCTCGCGTACTCACGTGCCTACGTAGTAGAGCTTGGCACATCGTTTGCGAGGGCAAAAGCGCAGGTAAAGAACTGATTTTCGGCAAAGTTGTGCAAACCCACAGCTCTGAAGACACCCTTCAGCACATGCAAATCAGGAAGACCTGCGCGTACTTCATCCAACGCCAAGCGAGAATGCGTTGCGCCCGGAGGTGCGTTTGCTCATACGGTTGCAGGTAAATGTTGGGCATGTGGGGGGTCCCACCAGAAAGCGGAATGCGTTGCGCCCGGAGGTGCTAAGCATCAGAAGCCACCCCTGTCTGAAACAGGTGCCAAAGGGAAAGGCAAGCAGGGGACTTCTGACACCGGACCCACGGGTAAGGGAAAGCAGGGTGGATCGGGGAAGGCAACAGGCCAGGCACAAACTGGTTTGAGCCAAGAAGCGATCAAAGAAGCGGCACAGCTTCTTCAAAGCATGCGTTTGGCCGCCCTGAAGCCGTACGTCAGGACGGCAACAGAACTGTTGCGCAGGGCCCACCGTGGCGAGCCCCGTGGCCTTATAGACGGGGGAGCGACAGCTGTTGGTAAACGCCCAGGGCACGTTGCTGAGCAAAACCCATGTGTCTCCCATACTTTCGGTCCGAGCCCTGTTGTCGCTGGGTTTCAAGATTGAGTGGGATTCCCACAAATGCCGTATATGGCACCCGAGTCGAGGGGATTTAGACCTTGATTCCAGTTCAGGTTGCCCGGAGATTTCAGAACAGGAGGCTCTTGCCCTCATCAAGGAGTATGAGTCTTTGGTTGAGCGAAACGAGTGCCGAAGTGCTAGACTGCATTGCATCATGAGGGACCTGGAGGCCTTATGCAACCAGGATCTTGCAGGTATCATAGTGCAACGGGATGCACATGCGGACGCTGCAATGCACATACTCTTGAAGAAGGTGTTCCCTGAAGTGGATCGCGATCTGCTTTCCCAGGCAGCTGCGTCGATGCAAAACCAGGATGGAGAGCCATATGCTTGGAATCGTAGAATGAGGCGTCGGTGTGAACAGGCGAGTGGTGTGCTGATTCACTTGTTCAGTGCTGGATGCAAGAGGGTGTATGAAGGCCTGGCGGACCGGAATAAGGCAGCTCTCTTGACAGTTGAGAGACCCGAGACACTCCTTTCAGATAGTACGTTCCGCTACTTGCTTCAGCAGGCATCCCGAGGAAGGGTGTTGGGTGTTGTTGGGGCCCCGCCTTACCGCACCTTCGCATGGAGTCGATACCTCGGTGAAGGGACAGAACGGTTCCATAGACCACTTCGTCTTCGGGGGGAAAGCCTTGCGGCTTACGGAGTTCAGGAGCTGGACTGCAGGGAGCAGGCACAGCGCCGGATGGATGATATCCTCATCCTCCGTATAATGATCCTGTTTCAAGAGGTACCATCATTCGTCTT